CTGAGTTGGTTTTTGTATAAGGCGTGAGGTAACGGTCTTGTTTCAATCTTTTGCATATCACTTTCCAGTTCTGCCAGCACCATCTGTTAAAGAGACATATCACCTCCCCATAAGATATATTTAGGCACTTTGTTGAAAGTCAGTTGGCTGTATGTGGATTGTTAATTTCTAGATTCTCGATTATTCCATTGATCAATGTATCTTTCATTGTACCAGTATCAGGCTGTTTTGACCACTGTAGCCATGTTATAAATTTTGAAATCGGGGAGTGAGAGTTTTCCAACCTTATTCTTTGTCTTAAGCAGTGCTTTGCTTATCCTGGGTCTCTTTCCTTTCCATATAAAGTTTGTAATAGTTTTTCCCGTCTCTTTTAAATATGTCATTGGATTTTGGATTGGGATTGCATTATAAGTGTAAATTGCTTTTGGTAGTACTGACATTTTCACATTGTTAAATCTTCCTATCCAAGAGCATGGTACAGTCTTCCATTTTTGTAGGTCTCTTTTGGTTTCTTGTGGTAGTGTTTTGTGATTTTCTTTGTATAGGTCTCTTACATCCATCTCGCATAGTTTTATTAGGGTTGGCCAGAGAAATTTTATATTTTTTGTTTGTTGCTACTATGAGTGAGATCTTTTTTCCACTATATCTTTTAATGTGAAAGGGCTTCACAAATTCATGGAAAAACGTAATAAAAACATCATGGAATTGTTCCACAAACTTTTTTTTTTTTTTTTTTTTTTTTTTTTTTTTTGTATTTTTTGTGATATTTTAAGTTCAGACGTGTGCTTATGTGATCGTTTACATGGGAGAATATTACTTTACATGCATTCCATCGTATATAGTCTCATTGCCATGGTTACAATCCCCTCCATGCAATCCTTTCCTCGTGCCCCTCAGGTCTTCAGCACACAGTCGCTCTCCCTCTCTGGATCTAAAGTCTCCAGCTGCTCCATCGCTCCACATCATCATCTTTGGCTCCATTTCAGGCATCATTGCTTCTCTGGGTAGGGTCCTGCTCTCTGCTCCTCTCCCTTGACGGTCCCAGGGACCTCCGCTCCTAGACTGAAAAGTTAATCACTCCCTTCCTTGCTATAAAATGTCTACCTTTACATTTCCAACCTTCACAGTCAGTCCTGATAACAATTATTCACTATTGGATCATAAGAGACCTATCTGGATTTCATTGCATCAGCGCCACCTAGACAGATTGAATACTACTCACTGGAGATTCTACCTTCCTCCAGGCCCTCTGGATCTAGGTTCCCTCTTGAAAGCTTGTAAGCCAGTCACTTCTTGCCTTTGTAGCCCCCCACCCCCCATTTTGGGTAGCCAATGTCCAAGTTGCCCATCCCTGTCCACTCTGTGTGTAGGAGGGGTGGGAATGATTCTTGCTGCAAGGGACTGCTCCCTCTTTTGAGCTATTGCTTCCATAGGTGTAGGTCAAGTTCATCAAATTGTATGAGCATACTTTTTTTTTTTTCTTTTTCCCTCTTCTTTTTACTTCTGGTTGAGCTCTGATCATCCAGTCATTGAAGCCAGGACAAGGAGGTATTATCTGCAAGTGTGGATATTCTTATGCATATGCCCTCTCTTCTTTTCAGCTGGACGCTTCACTCTCCGCTCTAGTCCTCCGTGGCTATGTCTCTGACTCTGGCCCAAGAGTCCCCAGGTCTTGCCACACCGCTGGCCCACCCGGCCTTCTTCACTTTTTAAAGCCCCATCATATGTATGTAAAAGTTGGTAATTGCCCTGTGATAACTTTCTTTGACTTAGTTTTTAACTACTTGTAATTATAGGAGCCCTGGTGGTGGTGTGGGTTATGCATTGAGCTACTAACTGCAAGGTCAGCAGTTCAAGTCCACTAGCCACTCCTTGGGAGAAAGATGAGGCTTTCTGCTCCCTCAAAGGTTTACAGCCTCGGAACCCCTGTACAGATTGCCATGAGTTGAAACTGACTTGGCAGCTCACAACCACCGTGCAGCCACCACTTATAGTGTTGTTGTTTTCAGTCGATTTTCCTCTGGTGTCTCTTCTCAGAGTCTGTGTGCACCATGATTGCTTCCCTTCATCGGGTTATGTGGGTTATTGTACCCAGAGTAACCCTAAGGCTTGTAATGCTGGGAGATCCCTCTGCCTCGTTTCAAAGGCATTGCTCCTGCAGCTGTGCCTAAGGCCTGATGCAGTCTTGGGGCTCATGTCTCAGGGGTGCTCAGCGGTGCTGTTCATCAGCATTCCCGGGGACCTGACACAACTACACTTTCTGGTCCCTTGAAGGGAGTTAGCCAGGCGCCTTGCCCGGCCAGCGAGATGGGGACGCTATGTTAGGTGTACTAGGTGAGTCCATTCTGATGCGGAGCTCACCCAAGTCTTTAAGGGCCGATGTGAGATTTGCCATCTGAAGGTAGCTTTCTTCATTGAACAAACTCTAGGCTTTGGTATCAGAATTTCGGTTGCTTCATAGAAGTGAACTGGAGACTTTCCCTTGGCTCACTTCGGGACCACTTTAAACATCTGGGATGATCCGCTCTGCAAAGATCCCCTGGGTATATATACTTTGGGGAAAGGATGGCTCTTGGATTTACTTGTCTAGTCTCTTTCTGGTTGTTGAGCTGTTCGGAGTCCTCTTCTCTTGGAATCAGTGTTGATTACTTCTACACTGCCTGGAGAGTTACTAACTTCCTGGAAAGTTACCCGTTTCAGCCACGTTTGAGGGCCGGCTGCAGCGAGCTAAGCCAGCTAGCTCATGGGTCTTTCTGTTTCTTCTCTCTGCAGAATTGCTTAGTGCCCTTGAGTCAGTTCTGACTCATAGTGACCCTGTTTAGTGCTTCCAAGAAGTGGCTGGTGGGTTTGAAATCACTGACCTTGAGGTTCGCAGTGCAGTGCAGTGCTTACCACACCAGGTCTCTGTGGTTAATCCCCAATATTTCTTCTGTGCATTTTTGCATTTTTCCTTTTCCTTGATTAGGTAATTAGGACCAATTTAATAGACTCATTAGGACTTAATTGTTGTTGAGTGCCATAGAGTCGGTTCTGGCTCATAGTGATCCTGTATGGGGTTTCCAAGGAGCTGCTGGTGAATTTGAACTGTAGACTTTGAGGTTCAAACTTAATTAGGACCCACATAGTATTCAATTTTAGGATTTTCATAAGCATATTGCATTGTGCATGAGGATGGTGTTGTGGTTTTAAGTGCCGTCAAGTTGGTTCTGACCCATAGTGACCCTGTGTAGGGTTTCCAAGGAGCGGCTGGTGAGCTTGAGCTTGAACTGTTGACCTTGTGGTTCAAACCGACTTTACAGTCCAGCACACTAACCCACAGCGTCACACCAGGACTGGCTCTGCTATCGTTTGTTTATGTGTGAACCTGCTGTATGTTCTCTGCAGGACTGGGGTATCCGTTCCCTGCCTTTCCAGTTTGCTAGGGGTAGGCCCTTGGCATTTGCCTTTCTGCAGGTGCTCAGTCTACTTAGTGTGGGCGATGGAGCAGGGAGGCTGGTGCTGGGATGGAGGTGGGAACCCTGGAAGGGACTGCTGTCCCCACAGTTGGCCCTGACCCGTGGTGACTTCGTACACAACAGAATGGAACACTGCCTGGTCCCACTCCGTCCCCATCAAACTCTTGTGATCCGTGGAGTTTTTCTGTGGTGGGTTTTCAGACCTAGATCTCCAGGTCTTCCTCCCTGGTCCATCCTAGTCTAGAGGCTCCATTGAAACCTGCTCAGCGTCCCAGCCACACATAGGCTTCCACTGACACACTGGTGGTGGTGGCTGTGCATGACGGTGTGACTCAAGAATCGAACCCCAGACTCCTCCACCATTGCCTTCTGCCCCACAGGGAAACCTCTTAACCCCGGAGCCAGCATGTCAACAGGCCAGTACAGTGGAGGGCAGATGATCTGAATGTGGGTGCCAAGTGCCCTTTTATCTGAGGGTTCTAGAGAAGAAATGACCACTGGTCAGCCAGGAAGTGCTGACTCGATTCCTTTGTGAAGGTGAACAGGTGGTCATGGCTTGTAAGGGTGGGCTTCTTTCTGGGAGACCTGAGGCAGGGGGTCTTCTGACAGTGGTGTAGACCTGAGAACGACTCATCTGTCTCTGAGCAGCTGCTGGGGGCACTCGGAGGTACGTTTCACCTTAGCTCCCAAAGATGAAGACTGAGCCTTTCAGGGACGCTCGGCACCACAGAATGGCTGTGTTATTGTCAAAGAAAACAGAAAAAAATGAGGGTCATTTAGAGTGCCCTTTGAAGGTGGGACTCTTCAGATAGGGCAGGTTATACTTTGGGGAATGACTTGTTTTAAAGTTTTTATTGTGAATTATGTGATAGTTTACATGGGAGAACATTATCTTTACATTCATCCTATCGTATTTCGTTTCATTGCAATGATTACAATCCCCTGCTTGCATCATCAACCAACCAAAGGGTACAGCCCGCACGCCTGCCCCCCAGCCACCAGCCCATAGCCCCTGTCCCTCCCTTAGTCCAGAGCCCCCAGCCGCTTCTTTTGTCCACGTCATCGTCTCTGCCTCCATCCCTGGTGTCACTGTCTCCCCAGACAGGGTCCCGTACTTTGCTTTTCTTTCTTGATGGTTCCAGGGTCTCTGCTCCTGGACTGCAAAATCAGCCATTCCCTTCCTTTTGTTACAGAACGGCTACATTTTCCCTACTGAACCACAGAGGTCTTAGCCCCCTCACCTTTCACAGTAGACATTTTCTGTTGTGGTTTGGGTGGAAGCTTACGGAGCAGACTGGTGTCCATTCACATTTTGCTTCCTGGCCTTGACCGCAGGCCCCACCACCTAACAGCACTCTTCCCACCTCCTCCCCAGGTTTCCCAAATCCATCTGTCCTTCTCTCCTGCCCCTTTCTGACTTCTGAGCTTCCTCCCTGGGTACATCCTGCCTGCCCTTCACAGGCGTTTTGATAGCTCTAGTAAAGAGCTGTATTCTTCGCCACACCCACCCCAGCCCTGAAGTAACCATACGCTGTTTCCCCGCAGACATTCTGCTTCTGGCCGATGAGAAGTTTGACTTTGACCTGTCCTTGTCATCTTCTAGGTAGGCAAATGAGGTGTTTCTCCTTCCCCTGGCCTTGAACATCCCAACTCAGTAACGTCTTTGATTTAAATGCTGTGTCAGTGATAACCCTCTTTTTTTAAAAAACAGTGCAAATGAAGACGACGAAGTCTTTTTTGGACCTGCTGGACACAAAGAACAGTGTGCAGCTGCCAGAGTGGGTGTCAGTAATCACACCCCTGAGGGACCTGCCCCCAAGGCTGGCAGTCACTTTCCTTGGAGCCCCCTCACTGGGGAGAAGTTTGTGGAAGTTTACCGTGAAGCTCACATGTTGGCTCTGCAGATCGGAGGCAGCGCTAGCCGGGGCTCCGTCTCTGAGAAGGCCGCAGACCCGGGAGGCCAGGGCCTGGAGGTATTTGTGAAGGAATCAGCATTAAAGATAAGCCTCTTTGAGAAAGGGTGTGACGTGGAGAAGAGTCCCACATCTCTGAAGAGGGAGACCTACTGCCTATCCGAGAGCCCTCTGCTGGGTCCAACCCCCTTGGGACTCCAGCCTGCTGCTGGCCTGGCCCTGCGCCTGGGCTCTACCCCCGCCCCACAGAGCACCCCTGCCCAGGCCAGTCTCCCCTGCATGCCGGAGCCCAGACCCTCTTCTCAGATGGCGTCCACAGCGCCACCAGGTACTGCTCCACCTCCAAAAAGGATCATCAGTAAATTGCAGCCGCCCCGAGCTCTGGCTGCCCGAGGAAGAAGCATCCCCTCGGCCATGGAGAAGGTAAACTGCCCCTTATCTGAGGGATACGGTCACCGAGACCATTGTGGGGAGACCTGGAACGCACGTGGTGTGGGGCTGGATGTGGGGTACAGGCAGTGTGAGCTCGTCTGCTCACGTAAAGGTTGGTGGTTCGAGCTCACTCAGTGGTACCGTGGAAGAAGACCTGGAGATCTGAGCCCGCAAAGCCGACCCCCAAGAACATCCTCTGGTCAAACCTGTCTAGTCACACGGCCGCCCTCAGCTTTGCCTTTCGTTTGGGCCTTAAGATCCCCTCCTCAGTTCTGTGTAGCCTGGAGTGTTTGTGTATTGTTGTAATGCTGGAAATCTCCCAAGGAGGGCCTAGGGTCCTGGGGCCTCCTCGTCCAGTGGCTTCCCTCATCCCAAACACCACAACCTCAGGCTGTTGTCCTGCAGTCGATTCGGACTCAGAGGACCCTGTGGGGATAGCTGATATGTGTGACCAGACTTGGAGGACCCTGTGGGGACAGCTGGTGTGTGTGAACAGACTCGGAGGACCCTGTGGGGACAGCTGGTGTGTGTGAACAGACTCGGAGGACCCTGTGTGCCACATCTTGTCCTGGAGGTTTGAACAGACTACTTTTCAGTTAGGCAGCCAGTGCTTAACTGCTGTACCACCAGGGGTCCTCATCTGGCGTAGTCACTGGTCACCTGCATCGAGGAGCTCTAGTGGCAGGCACAGTGGGTCTGAATTGCCAAGCTCCCCAGCCATTCCCATGAGGAATCATGAGCCTCGGAAACTCTGTAGAGGAGTTCCAGTCTGCCTTCAGGGGCACTTTGAGTTGCATTAGCTCAACAGTGGGCTTGTGTTTTGGATTGATCCTGCATCGAAGCAGGCCTGGTGGTGCTGTGGTTAGGTGTTTGGTCGCTAACTGCAAGGTCGGGATTCGAACCCACCAGCTACACCCCAGGAGAAAGATGAGGCAGGCTGCTTCCAGAAGGGTGACAGCTTCGGAAAGTCTGTGGACAGCTCAGCTCTGTCCTGCGAGGTCACTGTGGGTCATGGGACTTTGGGGATCTGCACAGCTGTGTGTTGGTTTCAATGGCTGTCCTCCCTGGGGCAGGACAGTGGACAGGTTAGGGAAGCTCTAGGGTGTGGTGACTGAGGGCTCAGGAGCTGGAGGAGGGTGCTCAGATAGGAGAAGGGTGGGCCTCAGACCTGGTCAGGTGACGGTGGCCCCTTGTTTGGAGGGTAGGTGGCAGAGGTGTCTGCTCTTCCTAGAGCCACAGGCTCCTCTCTTGGAGCCACCAGTGGTGGGCGGTGAGTGGTGAGAGGACTAGGTAACCACCAGGTGCCCAGCAGGGCCTGGACAGTCCTTCTCCCTCTTCAGCACAGCTCTGAAACCACATGACTTCCTTTCACAACCCAGAATTGAACCCTCCACACAGGAGGCATTCTGGGTACTGTGTTCCCCCTCATTCATGGTGGGGACCTACACCTTTAATCACAGAGACTTCTTTTCCGGAGCCCACTTTGAGATTTTGTTTTGTTCTTGGACATTTTGTCGTGGTTTGGATGAAAGATCACAGGACACGTTAGTTTCCCACTCCAACAGTTTATCCACTTTTTGTTCATGGCATTCAATTAATCCCTCACTGTATCGGTCCTCTCACTGGGGCCTTCTGCGTTCCCCGTTTCTGTCCGCCTCATTTTCCAGCCCCTTCCTGCTTTCTGAACATTGTTTTGGAGCCTTCGCTGCCCTCTGGGGCTCGGACGGCTGGGTGTTCTGAGGAGTGTGTTCCTTCTGGGGTTCCTGTTCACTTTATAGGCCTGACTGCTGTTTGACTGAAAGCTGATCTCTGTCTGGAGAGCCTTTGGCTGGGCATTTTGAAAGTGATGCTTCCAGACTGAGCTCAGCAGAGTGTAACAGACATGAACTAGGGCCAGGGAGCCTGGGGTCTGATCCTGGCTATTCTGGGGCCTTTTCCCTCTGGTCCTACTTGGTGATCCGGTGGCCATCAGGTTAGTCCAGGAGGTACTGCTAGGCAGCACTTCCCGTGTGGACACACCTGCACTCTGGAAAGGTCTACATCGCACCTTCACGTAGTTAAATGACCGCTAGCAAAGTTAGCATTTTAAAAATGAAAATGCAGAACGGAACAGTGCTGGCGAGCGAGTATGTGGGAGGGAGACTGGAAGTGTGGTCCAGGCCTGGTGGGAATGGAGACTGCAGCGTTGCTGTGGGGCAGTCTGGCTGGTTCCTGAAAGTTGAAAACAGACTTATCATGCAGCCCAGCAATCCCCTTCTTAGACTCCCCCCCCCAAGAACTAAAAGCAGGGACACTGAGCTAAGTGGACACCAGTGTTCCTAGTAGCAAAATGGCAAAGACAACCCCAGAATTTCATCACCTGACGAAATGAGAAGTAAAACATGTAGCCATACAATGGGATGCATTTTGGTGTGCGTGTTACAACGTGGGTGACCTGCTGAGTGAGCAAAGCTGGGCACAGAGGGACACATGTCGTGTCATCCCATTGCTCTGAAATGCCCAGAGTAGACTTGGGGCTGCCTAGGGCTCCCTCTGGTGTGGCGCTGTAGACTTAGCACTGCACTACGAACCACAAGGTCAGCAGTTCAAACCCACTGGCTGCTCCTCAGAAACCCTATACAGGGCTGCTGTGAGTCAGTACTGATTCCATGGCACTTAACAATGACAACAAGGCTCCCTCAAAGCTCAGTCTTGGAAACCCTGTATGGGGTTGCTCCAAGTCAGAATTAACTCGATGGCCGTGGGTTTAGGTTTTTGGTTTCAAGCTTCCAAGGAGTGTAGCTTTCCAGGGAATGGACTGCAAATAGATTTGGAGTTCCCTTTGGAGATAGTGGTGATGTGCCGTGGAGTTGGTTCCGACCCATAGCGACCCTGTACAGGGTTTCCAAGGCTGTAAAACTTTA